CTTATTGTCAACATAATTATAGAGTGTAATTTATTTTCAACTCAAAATATCTTCAAAACTAACGAAATATAAAGTTATTAGGGAGGAAAACCCGTCTGGATAACAGCAGAATGACTGCTGGTAAAATATACGACAGGTCTGGACCACTCGTGAATTTTGTTCGTATCTGAAAAATATCTTAGAATACGAAAACATTGGTGAATGTCACAAATTCTCCTAAATCACTCGTACGCACAACTTAAGAACAAATCTGTGCGTACGAACGGTTCTTGCATGAGGCCCAATGTTCTTACATTGTATGCCTTTAATATCTGCAGTTTGCCTGATTGCAGCTGCTAGAGGTTCAATGAAAATAGCAAACAGTGAAGGGGACAGTGGACATCCCTGCCTGGTGCCTCTCTGAAGAAAAAATCTAGAAGAAATTAAGTTATTTGTCATAACGCATGCAGTTGGTAAGCTATATAAGATTTTTAACCAGTTAATAAAATAATTTCCAAAACCAAATTTACGCAGGGTTGCAAATAAGAATTTCCAGTTTACTCTATCAAACGCTTTTTCTGCGTCTAAAGACAGAATAGCCATTCCAATTTTTTTACTGTGAGAATAATCTATTAAATTAAATAATCTGCGTGAATTTGTAGATGAGTGCCTTCCCTTTATAAAACCTGTTAGGTCAGGATGAATTATGAAAGGAGTTAACTTTTCCAATCTTTTGGAGAGGGCCTTACAGATTATTTTAAGATCAACATTAATAAGGGAAATAGGACGATAACTGGTAGGGAATACAGGAACTTTGCCTGGTTTTACCAGAAGACTAATGTTGGCTGAATTCATATGTACTGGAAGTCTGAAATGAGTATCCAGCTCAACCCTAATATCCACTTTGTTTAACTGCCACTGGCAGTCATCCAGGAATTCACAGAACCTTAGTTGCAGTGTAACTTCCGATATTTCCAGTTTAGAACAGAAGCAATTTCTTTGAAGGAGTTTGTAGTTTTATAATTACTGTTCTAAGTTAGTCAAACAACAAAAGCAAATACATTCTCCACCATATTTTATGCATAGTCAGTTTTTGTATTCACTATTTAAATATTGTAAAATGTTATGTTATTTCCTTCTGACGCTCTTAGTTTGAAGTTTAGCTGCTAAATGTGTGTAGCTGTGACATGCTACACACATGGTACCCAACACTTCCAGCACCGCTTGTAAGAGCAGACAGTTTTTAATTAATTTAGGATAAATGGCATAAAATTAGTAAAATTTGTGAATTTTTTTTAGCGGACTTAAAATTAGCGAATGCTAATCAGTCCACTAACTGTTTCCAAAGTTAGCACAAAAGCTAATCCACTAAATGAGAAGCCAGTACTGCTACTAGTAGATTAGAGGAACCACTCAATCATCTCTATAAAGACCCCAAAAGACTCACGGTTGTAACTGCTGCCAAAAGTGCTTCAACTCACAGCTACTGTAAGTAGGGTTAGAATACTTCTGGAAATGTAAAATTTCTGTTTTATACTTTATAAATTCACATAATTACATAAAATGCTGTCATCATTTTGATAGTATGGGGTACTAGAGGTAGAATAATGAGAATACAGGGATTTTCTGTTACCTTGCTCCATGTGGAACAGAACGAGTCGAGCCAGCGTGACCTTCATGATGTCTTCTCCGTAGCCTGTCGTGGACACGGCTCCTGACAAATTATCAGCGTAACCTCCGCTGCCTGAAACACAACAACGCACCTGATTATCTGGACTCAAGGTGAGAAGGAGTCTCTGCAGATTACATGATGGCCTCCTATAAATAGAAGTTCTGGAGTTGGGTTATATAAAACTGGAGACGGGAGATGGCGTCAGACAGGAAGTTGTAGAAAAAGAGAGAAACGAGTTACGGATGCAGTGAGAGCGAGCAGTCAGATAAAAGTATAAAAAGGGTTTTTTCAGTCTTTTATTATCAGATCAGCTAAGATCAATTTTATTAATATTTGATGGGTTATTTTTCCAAAGATATTAAGCTAATATTTATTGTATTAATAGCAACAAGTCATCTTCAATACATACTCTGAGAGCTAATTGATCATGTGAGATTTTTGTTTATAAGTGTACCATTAACTGCTGGAGTCAACTCTGTTAGCAAAATATCTCATTAACCACTGAGAAGAATTTAGTCAAACTTAAAAAACATAATCATTACACCTACAACTGATTAACCTTTGAAGCCAACCCAATTAAAGATGATTGCTACAGCTAATCAACCTTATTCAATACAAAAATAGCTGTAACTGTTAACCTTACAGAGCCCGAACTATAACTGGATGTGGTGGTAGCTGAGAGTCATCCCCAACAACAGATTGTAAGAGATACAGCAGCACAGAGTTAGATTACCTTTTTAGAACCTGTACGAAGTGTAAACACACAAAGAAGCTTTGTGTTTGACTGTGTTTATGAATTATTTACATTTTTAGGCCAAAGTTCAACAGACAGCAGAAGAAGAGACAGACTGACCTATGCAGGGGGTGTCTCCCACACGACCCTCCATCTTGTTCAGCATTCCTCCGGTGGAGGTCGCACACGCTACGTTACCCTCCGCATCGACTGCCACCGCTCCGACCGTCCCCATCTTCCCCCTAAAAATAACAACAGCTGAATGATGCTAAATATACACTAAACACACATCAGACTGTAAGTTTACACTTTACACTGACAGACTGGTATAAAACAGCATAATGTGTAACTCTGAGCCACGGCAGACATCTGAAACACAGATTTATTTTTTGCCTCAGAGTCAGGATCTTTATTGTCTGACATGTTGTAATTTTTTTTAACTCGTGGTTCTCTAACATCTGATTGTTTTGACAAGTTTGCACAAAAATCCTGAATGCAGAACGTGATATTTTTTTGTGTACTTATTGCTTTTTTTTTGTTTTTACTATTGTTATTTACTGTGTTTTGATGTTCTGTAGCATTTAAAAGTTTTTTGCTAATGCAATGTGTGTTACACTTTAAATTTATTATTTTTATTATTTCTCAGCATTTCTTCATTTATTGCTGGTACATTCACCAGGGGCCAACCAGGTCCCTCAGGTTTACTTGCTGTGGTGTTCAGCCTAGTACTAGTAGATAATAATAATAATAATAATAATAATAATAATAATAATAACAATAATAATAATGTATGTTATCCCAGGTTGGATTAGTAACACATTCCAGGCTGTGTTCTTTGCAAAAATACAGCCTGGAATATGTTACCAATCCAACCTGGGATAACACACAACAACAGCTACTTTATTAAAAGGGGTGTCCCGATACCAGTTTTTCTCAGAGTATGTGTACAAGAACTTCTGTTTGGGTACTCATTGATACTAAGTACCAATACTTACTGAGTTAGAACCTAAACATTACACAATGACATTAAAAAAACACTTATTTAGAACAAGGTGTATCTCTTTCCTTATATGCCTTCAAATATAAATCAAATATACAGCATGATGTATACTGCTGCAAAGTTTTAAAATACTTAAAAATAAAAAAGAAGATTTTCTTCCAACTTGTATAAATTTCATGGAAGTGACAATTCTTTTGAAAAGTAAAGTGTAAAACATTAAATGGAGTATCATCCTTTGATACCATCCTGGTATCTGTTTTGAGTTTCAGAGCATTTTAAGATAAGATAAGAAACCTTTATTGTCATTGTACAAAGTACAATAAAATTACAGTATGAAATTTTCTATGAGTACTTGTCAAAATGCTGGCATCAGGCCCAGTATTGGTATTTGGACACAACCAGTTATTAAGAAAACAATTAATGTACAGAAATATTTGTACAAAAATCAATATCAGTCCAAAAATCTCTTAAACCTGTTTTACCTACAATTGGTTGGTAAAAATTGGTTAAATCGTTTTTAGGAAAAAAAACACTGGTAAAGTTCTCACTAAACTGAAAGAAAATCCAGTTAAAGCTGGATCAGTCCACGTTTTGATTCCAATAAATATGCCAAGAACACAAAGGATTAAACCACTATAAAAAGCTCTAATCAGACAGCAAGAAAGACAAACAATAGCTAAACTTACTCCACATAAATGCACCAGAAGTTTATCACATGGCAGAACAGAGTGTTAGATAGGGTTCACTTGGTCATGGCTGTGGGGGACAAGTATCAGTCTTTGCAAAGGACTTTGCAAAATGCCTTGAAATGTTTGCAGAGTTTCTCAGTTTCCTCATGCGAGTCTCAGAAAGTCACAGCCTTGTCCCACAAATTTTCAACAGAATTAAGAAATCCGTGCCGCAAACTCTCTCTCTAAACCATTGAAGAGTTGTGGCAGAACATGAACTCAGTCAGCTATAAAAACTGGAAGAAAGGGAGTTTATTTCTTTTAATTTTACCTGCTGTTGTCAGACATTAAGACCGTTATTTCAAATATGTGTAATTAAATGGTTTATTAGGAACAGAACTGGTCATTCTGGTTGAATTGAATACATTTCTGTGTATTTCAAAAACAAATACTGTGTAAAACGGAGTGTAAAGTCATACATTTGGCATTCCACAGGGTTGGCACTAGGCTCCAGGTTGTTTCTCCAGCGCATGCGAGCGTACTCAGTAATGAGGGACTCCTGAGGAACCTCAACGACTCCCATGGAGCGAGCAAATTGACTGGCTCCTTCTGCTGTCAGACATGCATGGCTGGTCTGAAAGGAAGATCAAAGATTACCTGCAACACGTCTGTCAATGATTATGAAGGCAGGTTAATTGATTTGAACACAATGACCTGAGGTTATCGTCCAAACTGCAGCGTCTGACTTTCTTTAGGAGATTTTTTTTTCTTCAGATGTTTACATGTTAAGATGGCGCCACGGCAGGCAGCCTGTTACTGCAGCTCCCCTGAGTTGCTGTAATGTGCAAATTTCCCCATTGTGGGATCAATAAAGTTCTATCTTATCTTATCGTATCTTATCTTATCTTATACGCCAAGTTAAATTCATCGATTTCAGCAAAAGTTCTCATCCTGTCAGCGTCAGCCGTGGAATGAGAAGAGTTATAACAAACAGAAAGTCTCAGAGTCCATTACCTTGTCCATGACCAGTCTTGCCAGTTGAACCGGGTTAGCAATGTTGCGTACTGCAGACACGGCGCCGCTGGCCAGAGTTCTCCCGTCCATCACGATGGCATCCATCTCCACGTCTCCTTTGACGTTCAGAACTGAGCCACACCCTGAAACATGAGTGGAGGAAGTTTTTGTTACAAACAGTCTGCTGCTAAACTTTGTACTAATATAAAATACAAGATATTATGCAGCAATGAAGATAACTAAGTACTACAGGCTTAATATTTAGTACCAATGCACTATTTTCCTGACTGGTTTGCCAAAATCAATACATCCATCCTCTTTTCCCCTTTTTTGTGTCATGGGGAGCTGGTACTTGTTTCCAAACGATCACTGAGTGAGAGGCGGGGACACCTGGACAGGTCGCAAGTCCATCACAGGGCATCAGCTAACATGTTTTCAAAACTAGATACCGCATAGTGGTAACAAAATGACCCTGCACGCAGAAATGCACCGGAACTCAGAAGTCTGTATTCCTAATAAATTTCATGCTATAGGTGCATCCCAAAATTGTAG